CCTGAATAATGTAGCATTTCTGGTAGTGCAGTTATAATAACAATGAATTATTTTTAGCTTTTGTTTGTCTTGGATTGTCTTATTAACTCCCTAATTTTTGGAGGATATTTTTGCCAGAGAGAATTTTTTTTCTGTCATAGAAAATGATGTATTAAGCAGAATTTATTTCCAAGATCTTCAAAGATTATTACAAACAGAAAGTATCCTTCTAAAAGTATCCTACATTAAATCAGAGGCACATCATCAAAGTCAAACATTTGTGACATGAAGAATTCTTTAAGGTTATAATATTTTCACATTACTTTGTTTTTAACCATTAGCAATGTTCTGTATGTAGGTCCTACTTTAAACATTTTAAACATTTTTTAAAGGCATGAAATAATGTAGTAACTTTTTAAAAGTGCATTCAACTATAAAGTAAAGGAACTTAAAAAGAGATCAAATCTGCTTCATACACAAGATGGGACAACCTAATATACATCATAACATGAATCTTTCTAAGCAAATTTACTAACAAACATCTCCTGTTTAGTGTTAAAAATAAAACAAGAATCTTCTTATTTAAAAAAAAAAACAAGGCATCGTTTGATTGGTAGAGTCTATTTTCCCCCTCAATTTTATACTTTCTTGTTTTTATTTAGTAATCGTAAACTTATGATAGAACAAACTTTATTATAGTATAAAAATCATAGGAACAACAAATTACAAATACTCCATTTTAAAAATAAAATGTGTTTTCTTTCCTAAAATGTAAACACCCAGTTAATAAAACATACACGATATTCTAGGTATAGCAACACTTATTAAAGAGGTGTACTTTGGTATATTTGGTGGTAAGGTTTTTATCGTAATACAAAGCACTTCTTCAGGAGAACCAAGCTGATATTAATTAAAACAATTTCATTTTCCTTATTTGAGTAGAAAATCATTAATTTCTGTAGAATTCTGGCTGTAGGACCAGGACACAGGAAAGGTCTGAAATATCTCAGTCATTTGGCTAAAGAAAAGAGTTTTCTTGAGACTTGGAGTCAGTCATTCATTACTTCCTGTCGAAGGCATTTTCAACAAACTTCTTCCCAGTCTTCAGAGAAAAGTGCAGGATCTGGGCTCTTGGAAGGGGTTGCTTCTGGCTGGAACTCCCACCTGCAGAGCATCCTTACAGGCACTCTGCAGACAGCACTGCTGAGGCTCTGCTGGGCCTGAGAGACCTTGATCCTCCAGCTGGACTGGCTCCACCTGGTGCTGCAGGGAACTCATGCTGGTCTGGAAGACAAGGTGGTGGTAGGTGCTAGCTCTGAGGGTGGCTGCCAGAGAGAATTTTTGATTGTCAGTTTTTTTTTCTCCCATCATTTAAAATACAGCATTCCATTGGTTCTCCAAAATTTCTGGTAAAGATGTCTGTTGATTTTTTTCTCCAGGATTCCTTGTACCTCATGAATCAAATTTCTCTTGTGCTTTCAAGATGGACTTTGTCTTTTGACAATTTGATTATAATGTATGTGAGTCTTGGTCTCTTTGAATTTATCTGAAGTTCTTCTTTTAGCTTGCTGTACTTGTGTATTCATATCTTTCATCAATTTTGGGATGTTTTTGATGACTGTAATCTTCAGATAATCTCAGTGTCCCACACTCTCTCTCTTCCTCCTTCTGAAATTCAATACTGTTAATGCTAGTGGGCCACCATCAAGCCACTTAGGGACTGCTACCTTCTCTTTATTAGTTTTTTAGTTCTTTAAACTCAATTGATTTCTAGTATTCTACCTTCAATATGTTGTTTTTTTTACTGTTTCTATTAAATTTACTCTTTTTGACTCTCTGGTTAGGTTTTAAAATTTTTTCTCATTTCATTATTCAGCTTCAGAATTTTTGTTTTGTTTCTTTTTTCCCCCACAATTTCTATTGTTACTCTTATTTTGTGCATATATAATTTTCCTGATTTCCTTTAGTATTCCTGTGTGCACATTTGCTTTAGTAATTTTAGCATGTTTAACACAGTTGTTTTACTTTTTTTCTTTGCAAGAAGTCTGATGACTGTACTTCTTTAGGAGATCAGTTTATTTTCTTCCTCATAGTGAATGAGCCATGTTTTTTGTTTCTTTGTACGCATTTTAAAAAATTAAACATTTTAAAACCCACTGATCTCTCTATCTACAGATTTGTTTCACATTATGAAAATTCTTAACTAATATGCTTCTCATGATTCTGGTCTTAGGATCAGCCTAACATGAAAACTTTAGGTCTATTCAGTCCTTTATGAGCATGATTCTTGCCTGAACTATTTGAGGTTTTTTGTTTTTCCTAAATCAAAATTATTTTTGAATGTGCAAGTATTCCTAAAGTTCACACCTTAGTTTCTCCCTAGATGGTCTATTGTTTGTCTTTACCCCTAATCTCTTGACCATGGCATCTGTGGTTCTATAGTCCCCCTATATCCCTAAGGAAACATTCTAATTGCTTTTCTCCAATTTAGACCAAACAGACAGCAGTTGAAAAACCAGCTCCTAACTCAGAGCAAAGCCTGTCCAAGGAAGGGGGCATGACCCTTGTCCTTGGAGAGACCCACAGAGCACTCCTAGACACATACCCACCCTGCTGAGTTGTTTATCTACAAATAACAGGAGAGATCTGCTGTGCCAGGTGTCCCTGACTCAGTCAGGCTAGGTGGGGACCCATAGCAACCCCCTACCAGCCACCAATCAACATGAGACAGGAAAAATACCTGGGATGCTAGATGACCCTCCCAGTAGTTTATGGTGGTTGATAATGTGTCAGGAAACCATGTAGTTCAGCACGAACACCCCTCTTGGCTTAAGCCAATCAGTTCAAACGAGTCCCCCTCTTGTACTAACCAATCACCCCTACCCAAATTGTTCCTGCCAGTGAATGTGCTAATCATGTTTTGGAGTTGTTGTTTGATTTTCCCACATCAGTGTGTGATGATTTGCTAAGAGATGCTATGGTGTATGTGGGGCCCCTGCCTTCCCCAAAGAATGTATAAAACTGCTGCAAACCCTGGGCTCGGGGGCCTCTCAGTGTCACCAGTTGCTGTGTGCGCTTGGAGGACTGAGCTAGCTTGTAATAAACATCTCTTTGCTGCTTACATTGATCTGGGTCTCTAGTGGTCTTTTGGGGGTCCTGGATTCGAACATAACACAGTCTTTCAAGAGTCCCAGAAGGTTGGAATGTTGTAAATGAGATCTCTCTTCACTCTGGTTTCAGAGAAGAAGTTGGTAATAGGGTTGAAGCCACCTACAGACCAAAATTGCACCATGCTAGGCAAGGCAGGGGTGAAAACACAGTGAAATTTCCTGCCACTTTAAATCTGATGTTTCTTTCTTGGGTATTCACTTTGTCTAGTATAGACATTTGGATATTTACCCAATCTCCTCTAAAGTCATTTGGCCCATGTCACCTTGTGTTTTCATGTTTCTTTGAGAGAATTTGGAACTACTTAGTTCAACATTTTGCTGATACCACTTTATATGGTAAATTTTCAATTGTACCATAAGATTTTCTTGTATTAATGCATTATAGTTGAAATAACTATTTTTAAGCATTGTAATTAAGAGCATTTCTAATTTTTTGAGTGAATATTGTTGAGAAACATCATAAATTATATAAAATATCTTTACAATTTTTTTGTGTATTTTCTCTTTTGGTATTGAGGATTGAATCCAGGGACCCTCTACCACCAAGCTACACTTCCAACCCCTGTCGCCACCACTTTTTTTGCAGTTTTTGACAGGGTCTAATGAAGTCACCACCTTTGCATTTTGTGATCCTTTTGCCTAAGTCTCTAAATAGTGTAATTATAGGATTTTGTGTACTTTTTCATAAACCATATTTTATAAAAACTTTTTCGAAACTGGATGACAGATAAAACACTCAGAAAGTTGTAAATTATATCTAAATACTGAATAACTAGTACTATAATAACTATGTTAGAAAGTAATTTTTTGCAACATTGTAAGGATAGCACCAGTGTCAGCACTAGATATTCATATTATAAAGTATAAAGAAACAAGAAATTTGCTGATGAAAAATGCAAAAGACAAATTTTCTTTCAATATCAACTTTCAATTTTTTTAATCAAAGGTTACTTTTTTGAAATATGCCCATTTATCTTTTATCTAAGTTGTGTACATATTTGCATCTCTCTGTGTGCATAAAATAAAAGGTCTAAAAAAAGTTAATATTTAATCAACTTTTTGTTGCTGTGACAAAAATACCTGACAAGAACCATTTAGAGTAGGAAAAGTTTACTTTTGCTCACAGTTTCAAAGGTTCATTTCATGGTCAACTGATTCTATTGTTTTGGGCCTGAGGTAAAGCAGAACATCATGGTGGAACGATGTAGTGGAGGAAAGTATGGTAGCCAGAAAGGAAAGAGACAGACAGGGAGGGAAGGGATGAAGGGGGAGAGAAAAAAGCCAGGGACAAAATATAATCCCCAAATACATGCCCCTAGTAACCTTCTTCCTCTAGACACACCCCACCTGCCTACAGTTACCACCCAGTAATTCATTCAAATTATTACTCCATCAAATGGATTAACCCACTGCTTAAGTTACAGTTCTTATAATCTAATAATTTCACCTCTGAACATTGCTACATTCACTAACACATGAGCTTTTTAGGGGGACACCTCATATCCAAACCATAACAGATAGTTAATTGTTTGAAATGATACATGATAAAAAGGTGACTTCATCGTATCAAAGAAATTGGTAGCTGGTATTTTTTGCTTATTTAATGCATGGCCAATAATCATCACCAAATGTCTTATAATAATTTGCAATAACGTGGGGACTCTGATTACAAAAATTTCTTTTGCAAGAAATTAATGATTATTACTATTTGATAATTTACTTAAGAACCCACTTTTATAAAAAAAGTAAACTGTCTCTAATGCTGTTTTATTTTTGTGGAATACTTCTTTAAACTTGCTCCTCCTCCATGTCACTTCACCCATAAACTTTGAACAGGAAGACGCAACATAGCCTGTTTGTGGTTAATATAACCTGTGAAGGCAGAAGACAGAATAGTGTGTGCTTAGCCAGTGGAGTGACAGCTATGGATCACAAACATCAGTGTGTGGCACTAAATGATGGCTATTTCATTCCTGTACTAGGATTTGGCACCAGTGTACCTGATAAGGTAACAGTAGTATCTTGGGCTTCAGGGTCTGTAAAAAAAGAAAAGTTTTAAGATGAGTGAATGTTGGCTTGAATTTTCAAGTTTGTGTGATTTAGGGGGAAATCACCTGGTCATCAGTTCTCCAGGCTAGAGCTAATCCATATTCCAGAGAGAAGGATATCATACTATACTCTGCATTGTGGTATGATCCTGTGAACGCCTACTGATTATTCTGGGCTTTTCATATCAGCAATAAAGAAAACAGTTTTGCTTTCTTATCATCTCTGTTACTGGAGCAGGACTTTCAAAATTTTTTCCATTGCATAACAACTTGGCTAACTGAACAAAAACCCTAATTTATGACCGATCTTGGTTTTCCACATATCTTCCTCACTATGCTTCAACATTTCTAGCTTTTGATTTTATATGAGAGGCATGCAACTCTTCCTTTCAGTTGAACATTTAAGGGGCATTGTAGAGAGACAGGGAGAAAGGGGAGAGGTGGGGGAAATATACAGTTGGTAGAACAGTTAGAACCCATGAGGTATTTTCCCAATGTTTATTGTCTTATGTGGGTTTGGTTCATGGCACCCCAAATAATTACAATAGCAATATCAAATATCACTGACCAAAGTTTAACCATTATACCCATAATGAATATGAAAAGTTTGAGATATTTGTGAGAATTTTCAAGATGTAGAATAGAGTTTGAAATATTGTGAGATTTTTTCAAAATGCAACATTTTAAAATGGTGCCAATAGAGAAGAGGAGCAGCGACCTGCTGAGAGGCAGAGCCGCCCCCTCCCCCTGCACCGGCAAGGTAGAGGGAACGGTGACCACGCACAGAGCAGGCCCAGAGGCCTGCTGAGGGGCAGAGCCACCCCCCACCCCCCGCGCCTGCCAGGTGACCACCGACAGAAAAGGCCCAGTGGCCCGCGGTGGGACAGAGCTTCCAATCACTCCTGCAAGGTAGGCGGGCCTGCGACCCACCGGCAGAAGAGGAGCAGTGTCCTGCTGAGAGGCTGAGCCGCCCACTCCCCCTGCGCCGGCAAAGTAGAGGGACCTGTGACCACGCACAGAGCAGGCCCAGCGGCCTGCTGAGGGGCAGAACCGCCCCCCACCCCCCGCGCCTGCCAGGTAGGTGGAACTGTGACCACGGACAGAAAAGGCCCAGTGGCCCGCGGGGGGACAGAGCTTCCAATCACTCCTGCAAGGTAGGCGGGCCTGCGACCCACCGGCAGAAGAGGAGCAGCGGCCTGCTGAGAGGCTGAGCCGCCCCCTCCCCCTGCGCCTGCAAAGTAGAGGGAACTGTGACCATGCACAGAGCAGGCCCAGCGGCCTGCTGAGGGGCAGAGCCGCCCCCCACCCCCCGCGCCTGCCAGGTAGGTGGAACTGTGACCACGGACAGAAAAGGCCCAGGGGCCCGCGGCGGGACAGAGCTTCCAATCACTCCTGCAAGGTAGGCGGGCCTGCGACCCACCGGCAGAAGAGGAGCAGCGACCTGCTGAGAGGCAGAGCCGCCCCTCCCCCTGCACCGGCAAGGTAGAGGGAACTGTGACCACGCACAGAGCAGGCCCAGCGGCCTGCTGAGGGGCAGAGCCACCCCCCACCCCCCGCGCCTGCCAGGTGACCACTGACAGAAAAGGCCCAGTGGCCCACTTTGGGACAGAGCTTCCAATCACTCCTGCAAGGTAGGCGGGCCTGCGACCCACCGGCAGAAGAGGAGCAGTGTCCTGCTGAGAGGCTGAGCCGCCCCCTCCCCCTGCGCCGGCAAAGTAGAGGGAACTGTGACCACGCACAGAGCAGGCCCAGCGGCCTGCTGAGGGGCAGAGCTGCCCCCCACCACGCGCGCCTGCCAGGTAGGTGGAACTGTAACCACGGACAGAAAAGGCCCAGGGGCCCGTGGCGGGACAGAGCTTCCAATCACTCCTGCAAGGTAGGCGGGCCTGCGACCCACCGGCAGAAGAGGAGCAGCGGCCTGCTGAGAGGCTGAGCCGCCCCCTCCCCCTGCACCGGCAAGGTAGAGGGAACTGTGACCACGCACGGAGCAGGCCCAGCGGCCTGCTGAGGGGCAGAGCCGCCCCCCACCCCCCGCGCCTCCCAGGTAGGTGGAACGGTGACCACCAACAGAAAAGGCCCAGTGGCCCGCAGCGGGACAGAGCTTCCAATCACTCCTGCAAGGTAGGCGGGCCTGCGACCCACCGGCAGAAGAGGAGCAGCGACCTGCTGAGAGGCAGAGCCGCCCCCTCCCCCCAGCGCCTGCAAGGTAGATGGAACTGTGACCACCATCAGAGCAGGCCAGACCTGCAACCAAGAGACAGAACAGGCCCAGTGGCCTGAGGAAGGGTAGAGCCGCCCCCCCCCGCGCCTGCAAGGTAGGCGCACCTGCGACCCATTGGCAGTACAGCCCCAGAGGCCTGCAGAGGGGCAGTGCCGCTGCCTGCGCCTGCAGAGTAGACAGAACTGTGACCACCGACAGAACAAGCCTAGCGGCCCGCAGAGGGACAGAGCCGCCGCCCGCGCCTGCGAGGGAGACTTTGCAACTATACAAGACCAATATAAATATATAGGGGGAAAATTCAATAGCACAACAGTTTCACCAAGTAGAAAGGAACGCGAACAGTATGAAGAGACAAGGAAAGAAAGGACCACAAGCATTGCAGGTCAACTCAACGTTAGAAGAGGTAATAGCTGCAGCAGATGGAATGTCAGATAAAGAATTCAGGATATACATGCTTCAGATGATCTGGAGTCTCAAGGAAGACATCAGACAGCAAAATCAGACAATGAAAGATCACTTCAACAATGAATTACATAAACAAATCCAAGAAGCAAAAGATCAACTATACAGGGAAATAGAGGTTATAAAAAACAAACAAACAGAAATCCTAGAAATGCAGGAAGCAATAAGCCAACTTAAAAACTCAATTGAGAATACTACCAGCAGAGTAGAACACTTAGAAGACAGAACATCAGACAATGAAGATAAAGTATTTCAACTTGAAAAGAACATAGACAGCTCAGCAAGACTGTTAAGAAACCATGAGCAGAACATCCAAGAAATATGGGATAACATCAAGAGACCAAATTTAAGAGTCATTGGGATACAGGAAGGGACAGAGTTTCAAACCAAAGGAATGAGCAATGTATTCAATGAAATAATACGAGAAAACTTCCCAGACTTGAAGAATGAGACAGAACCCCAAATCCTAGAAGCCTACAGGACGCCGAATGTGCAAAATCATAAGAGACCCACACCTAGACACATTATAATGAAGATGCCCAACATACAGAATAAGGAGAGAATTTTAAAAGCTACAAGAGAAAGGAAGCAGATCACATTTAGGGGTAAGCCAATCAGGATAACAGCTGATCTTTCAACACAGACTCTGAAAGCTAGAAGATCCTGGAATAACATATTTCAAACACTGAAAGAAAATGGGTTCCAACCAAGAATTGTGTATCCAGCGAAATTAAGCTTCAGGATGGAAGATGAAATTAAAACCTTCCACGATAAACAAAAGTTAAAAGAATTTGCAGCTAGAAAACCATCTCTTCAAAACATCCTTGGCAAAACATTACAGGAAGAGGAAATGGAAAATAACAATGAAAAACAACAGTGGGAGGTAGGACACTAAAGGGGGGAAAATAATCAAAGAGGAAAACAAACCATGTTTAGTAACATAAATAAACAAATATGGCTGGAAGAACAACCCATATCTCAATAATAACCCTAAATGTTAATGGCTTAAACTCACCAATCAAGAGACACAGGCTAGTAGAATGGATCACAAAACAAGACCCAACAATATGCTGCCTACAGGAGACGCATTTGATAGGAAAAGACATACATAGGCTGAAGGTGAAAGGTTGGGAAAAATCATATCACTCATATGGACTTCGGAAACAAGCAGGAGTATCCATACTCATATCAAATAAAATAGATTTCAAGCCAAAGTTAATCAAAAGGGATAAAGAGGGACACTACATACTGCTCAAGGGAACCATACACCAACAAGACATAACAATCATAAATATATATGCCCCAAACAATGGTGCAGCTATGTTCATCAAACAAACTCTTCTCAAGTTCAAGAGTCTAATAGACCACCATACAATAATCATGGGAGACTTCAACACACCTCTATCACCACTGGACAGATCTTCCAAACAAAAGTTGAATAAGGAAACTATAGAACTCAATAACACAATTAATAACCTAGACTTAATTGACATATATAGAATATACCACCCAACATCAAGCAGTTACACTTTTTTCTCAGCAGCACATGGATCCTTCTCAAAAATAGATCATATATTATGTCACAGGGCAACTCTTAGACAATATAAAGGAGTAGAGATAATACCATGCATCCTATCTGATCATAATGGAATGGAACTGAAAATCAATGATAAAAGAAGGAAGGGAAAAGAATACATCACTTGGAGAATGAACAATAGGTTACTGAACGATCAATGGGTTATAGAAGACATCAAGGAAGAAATTAAAAAATTCTTAGAGAATAATGAAAACACAGACACAACATATCGGAATCTATGGGACACATTGAAAGCAGTTCTAAGAGGAAAATTCATTGCTTGGAGTTCATTCCTTAAAAAAAGAAAAAACCAACAAATAAATGATCTCATACTTCATCTCAAAATCCTAGAAAAAGAAGAGCAAAACAACAGCAAAAGAAGTAGAAGGCAAGAAATAATTAAAATCAGAGCTGAAATTAATGAAATCGAAACAAAAGAAACAATTGAAAAAATTGACAAAACTAAAAGTTGGTTCTTTGAAAAAATAAACAAAATCGACAGACCCTTAGCCATGCTAGCGAAGAGAAGAAGAGAGAGAACTCAAATTACTAACATACGGGATGAAAGAGGCAATATCACAACAGACACTTCAGAAATACAGAAGATAATCAAAAATTATTTTGAATCCTTATACTCCAATAAATTAGAAGATAGTGAAGGCATAGATAAATTTCTTAAGTCATATGATCTGCCCAGATTGAGTCAGGAGGATATAGACAACCTAAACAGACCAATATCAATTGAGGAAATAGAAGAAACCATCAAAAGACTACCAACTAAGAAAAGCCCAGGACCGGATGGGTATACAGCAGAGTTTTACAAAACCTTTAAAGAGGAACTAATACCAATACTTTTCAAGCTACTTCGGGAAATAGAAAAAGAGGGAGAACTTCCAAATTCATTCTACGAGGCCAACATCACCCTGATACCTAAACCAGACAAAGACACTTCAAAGAAAGAAAACTACAGACCAATATCTCTAATGAACCTAGATGCAAAAATCCTCAATAAAATTCTGGCTACTCGGATACAAAAACTTATCAAAAAAATTGTGCACCATGATCAAGTAGGATTCATCCCTGGGATGCAAGGCTGGTTCAATATACGGAAATCAATAAATGTTATTCACCACATCAATAGACTTAAAAATAAGAACCATATGATCATCTCGATAGATGCGGAAAAAGCATTCAACAAAGTACAGCATCCCTTTATGTTCAAAACTCTAGAAAAACTAGGGATAACAGGAACATTCCTCAATATTGTAAAAGCAATCTATGCTAAGCCTCAGGCTAGCATCATTCTGAATGGAGAAAAATTGAAGGCATTCCCTCTAAAATCTGGAACAAGACAGGGATGCCCTCTCTCACCACTTCTGTTCAACATAGTTCTCGAAACACTGGCCAGAGCAATTAGACAGACGAAAGAAATTAAAGGCATCAAAATAGGAAAAGAAGAACTTAAATTATCACTATTTGCAGATGACATGATTCTATACCTAGCAGACCCAAAAGGGTCTACAAAGAAACTATTAGAGCTAATAAATGAATTCAGCAAAGTGGCAGGATATAAAATCAACACGCATAAATCAAAAGGCATTCCTGTATATCAGCGACAAATCCTCTGAAATGGAAATGAGGACAACCACTCCATTCACAATATCTTCAAAAAAAATAAAATACTTGGGAATCAACCTAACAAAAGAGGTGAAAGACTTATACAATGAAAACTACAGAACCCTAAAGAGAGAAATAGAAGAAGATCTTAGAAGATGGAAAAATATACCCTGTTCATGGATAGGCAGAACTAACATCATCAAAATGGCGATATTACCAAAAGTTCTCTATAGGTTTAATGCAATGCCAATCAAAATCCCAACGGCATTTCTTGTAGAAATAGAGAAAGCAATCATGAAATTCATATGGAAAAACAAAAGACCCAGAATAGCAAAAACAATGCTAAGCAGGAAGTGTGAATCAGGCGGTATAGCGATACCAGACTTCAAACTATACTACAGAGCAATAGTAACAAAAACAGCATGGTACTGGTACCAAAACAGGCGGGTGGACCAATGGTACAGAATAGAGGACACAGAAACCAATCCACAAAACTACAACTACCTTATATTTGATAAAGGGGCTAAAAGCATGCAATGGAGGAAGGATAGCATCTTCAACAAATGGTGCTGGGAAAACTGGAAATCCATATGCAACAAAATGAAACTGAATCCCTTTCTCTCGCCATGCACAAAAGTGAATTCAAAATGGATCAAGGAGCTTGCTATCAAATCAGAGACACGCCGTCTGATAGAAGAAAAAGTTGGCTACGATCTACAGTCGGTGGGGTCGGGCTCCAAATTCCTCAATAGGACACCCATAGCACAAAAGTTAATAACTAGAATCAACAAATGGGACTTACTCAAACTGAAAAGTTTTTTCTCAGCAAAAGATACAATAAGAGAGGTAAATAGAGAGCCTACATCCTGGGAACAAATCTTTACTCCTCACACTTCAGATAGAGCCCTAATATCCAGAGTATACAAAGAACTCAAAAAATTAGACAATAAGAGAACAAACAACCCAATCAACAAATGGGCCAAGGACCTGAACAGACACTTCTCAGAGGAGGACATACAATCAATCAACAAGTACATGAAAAAATGCTCACCATCTCTAGCAGTCAGAGAAATGCAAATCAAAACCACCCTAAGATACCATCTCACTCCAGTTAGATTGGCAGCCATTATGAAGTCAAACAACAACAAGTGCTGGCAAGGATGTGGGGAAAAGTGTACACTTGTACATTGCTGGTGGGACTGCAAATTGGTGCAGCCAATTTGGAAAGCAGTATGGAGATTTCTTGGAAAGCTGGGAATGGAGCCACCATTTGACCCAGCTATTCCCCTTCTCGGTCTATTCCCTAAAGACCTAAAAAGAGCATGCTACAGGGACACTGCTACATCGATGTTCATAGCAGCACAATTCACAATAGCTAGACTGTGGAACCAACCTAGATGCCCTTCAATGGATGAATGGATAAAAAAAATGTGGCATTTATACACAATGGAGTATTACTCTGCATTAAAAAATGACAAAATCATAGAATTTACAGGGAAATGGATGGCATTAGAGCAGATTATGCTAAGTGAAGCTAGCCAATCCCTAAAAAACAAATGCCAAATGTCTTCTTTGATATAAGGAGAGTAACTAAGAACAGAGTAGGGTCGAAGAGCATGAGAAGAAGATTAACATTAAACAGGGATGAGAGGTGGGAGGGAAAGGGAGATAGAAGGGAAAATGCATGGAAATGGAAGGAGACCCTCAGAGTTATACAAAAGTACATACAAGAGGAAGTGAGGGGAAGGGGAAAAATAATATAAGGGGGACAAACGAATGTCAGTAGAGGGAGCAGAGAGAGAAGAGGGGAGGGGAGGGGAGGGGAGGGGAGGGGGGATAGTAGAGGATAGGAAAGGCAGCAGAATACAACAGACACTAGTATGGCAATATGTAAATCAATGGATGTGTAACTGATGTGATTCTGCAATCTGTATATGGGGTAAAAATGGGAGCTCATAACCCACTTGAATCAAATTGTTAAATATGATATATCAAGAACTATGTAATGTTTTGAACAGCCAACAATAAAAAATTAAAAAAAAAATGGTGCCAATAGACTTGCTCCACCCAAGGTTGCCACAACCTTCATTTTGTCAAAAAAAAATGCAATGTCTGGGATATGCCACTTAAGTGGGACACAATAAAATGAGGATGTCAGTATCCGTATTTTACAAATCTTTATTCCTAGTATGTAGACCTGTTCTTTAGTGAGAATGGCTATTTAGAAAAAAGATAACATAAGAGACTGTTATAAATAGAATTGTTTATTTTCAAATTGGTACCAGTCTAGCAAGTAACTTGGGTTTCTCACCATTTTCTAACTGATGATAAAGATGATTCTATCTTAACTATATATACAAATATTAGGGTTTATGTCTCTGTTTTTCTTGGGAAACTGGAAGCTTTGTATGTGCTAATAGAAAGTGTCTGTGAAACCAGCTATTAAAGAAAAATGAGGAATTTAATCTCTGAACAGCTTTTCTTGAAGATGATTTCCCATTCTTTCTCAAAATTGAGTGCCACAGGAACTTATTGTGTTGGGTGTCAATGTACTGGGGGAGAAGTCATTGAATTTTGTATCAAATTTCTTCTATATTCCATCCCATGACTTTGGTTTTTGAAATGATTTTATTTTGAAATGATTTTATTTTATTAACTATATAAATAGTAGCATTAACTAAAAATATGCTGAATGTGAATCCTTCAAACAAATCACTGAGCCTGGACATATTCTTTGGAAGCTCAAATGCCAAAGAATATCAACTAATGATTGCTCAGGACTGAAAGTGTTCTTGGGATGCCCAAACTTTCTTTCTACTGGGAAAGATCCAGGTAAATTGAGATTTTTTTTTTTTTTTTTTTTACCACTTATACATAATTACCCCATAACATAAGGAGAAATTTATTCACATGAAGTCCACTGTTTCTATTTGAAATTCTTCTCATTGCATGGGTCTTCAAATACTTCTTTGGATTGTTCTTCCAGGTTCCTAAGAGTGAGGTAATAAAGGCCACCAAATTAGCAATAGAAGCTGGGTTCCGCCATATTGATTCTGCTTATGTATACCAAGTAGAAGAGGAGGTAGGATTGGCCATTAGAAGCAAGATTGCAGATGGCACTGTGAAGAGAGAAGACATATTCTACACTTCAAAGGTATTACATATGTTCTGTATTTATGTGCATACTTATTTAATGCCATTGTGTGCAGATGACAATATATGATTGGATCAGTAGCTTTTTGGTAAGTTATTGCTTATTAGTACAACTTTTATTTACAAGTTTTTGTATTAAAACTAGGAAAGAAAACAGTTAAAGATGGTGTCTTTCACATCATTGGAGGGCCCAAATTTATGACTATAATGTGAAGTTGTTTTACTTTTACGAATATCAGATCAAAGCAGTGTGATTCATCATGGACTACATAATCAGAATTATGACCAGATAATGGCTTTTCTTATCTTCTTGGTGACTTTCTAAAATCTGTTATTCTGAATCTCAATGTTTACTTTGTTAATCAGAGACAGCAATATAAGAGAGATGTTTAGTATCAAAAAGACATATCTATATTGTGTTCTACTGTGTTCTGCACGTGTTAACCTGTTCTAAACAGTTTCTTCAACTCTATAAATAAAAAGGATACAAATTCTTCCCCATCTGGTAGAATAACTAAGAGATTTAGACTAAGTTTGTTCACTATTTTGTAACTCAATCAAACATAATTTAGATAATGGGCATTGTTATTTGAGAAAGAACTTTATCTCTTGGATCACTTCATTCTGTGTTCAGTAGGTATATGGACAATAGCCAAATAGTAAGGTTTATATGTTCAAGACAGATGAAAAGAAACAAAGGAAAGAAGAGAGTTATATTTCCCTGATGGTCAACAGTTTCCAACCAGCAGAAAAATGTCTCTGCATTAGGTAAAAACAAAACTCATGCATTTGTCAACAAATATGCCATAAAGAATTGCTAAAAGGAAAACCGTAAAGAAATACCAACAAACCAGCTGGTATTGATGTCTAGATGAGAAAATTTTGTCAACAAAACTGGCTAGAGTATTAATTCCAAATTTCATTCTTTAACCTCTGCAGCTTTGGTCCACTTTTCATAAACCAGATTTAGTCCAACCATCCTTGGAACAGTCACTGAAAAAACTTCAGCTGGACTATGTTGACCTCTTTCTCATTCATTTTCCTCTACCTTTGCAGGTAAGGGGTTTGGGTGTATCTTGTTTCCTTTCCACCTTCCCTTATCCCTGCATTCCAACACGTTGGCTTCATTTTCATCTCATCATTTTTCATTGGTAAAAAATAATGCCTTGGGGCACTTTAAGACTCATTGATGGTAACACTTGAGAGTTACTTTGGCTTTCTGACACCCATATTAATCTAAAAAATACCCCCACCAAGATACTGACCCTGCTTGGTTCATATGCGTGCTCGTGGACCATCATATGTCCAGGGGCATAAGGATTTCGGATCCTTTCACCTGGGTCATGAACACAAGCCATTTATCACTGGATATCAAGGCTATGTAATTATTTATGGCCTTTCCCAATGAGGGAGAAGTGTTTTCCAAAGGAAAGTATAGGGGCTGAAAAAAATTAACAGAAGTTCTATGAAACCCCCACCAGGACCTGAGGAAATAGTATTTATTATACATATGAAAGATCTAAAGGATTAAGGGAAAACCTGTCTCCAAAGGACATTCCTTACCACTTCAACTGCAAAATATTTTACAAATACCAGGATCTAGAATATAGCTCCACCTACTTTATGAAAACTTAATGTCCCATGCACCCTCCCCCCCACCAAAGTACCTGGCAGCATAGTTAATTGTTGCAACACAGTTTGGTGAAATCTCTAAAATGACGGCTTCTATTCCAGTCTGGGATGTCATTATCACCCAAAGATGAACAAGGAAAAGCAATATCTGAAGCAGTGGATCTCTGTGACACATGGGAGGTGAGTACTTGGAGGAGAGAGTGCGGAGGGGCAAGTTGGTAGAGGAAGAGTCAGGTCTGACCTGCACCTCTGACAATGGGATATACACCGCTGGACTTCCACATCCATGGCCTTCATGAGGGTTGTTTTGATGCAGTGGTTGGGAGGAAAGCATTACTGGAGAGTAATAGGGAGAAATGGGGAAGGAGTGAGGAGAGTGGGGATAGGCATCTCTTTCTGTCCATAGTCAGTAATCTCTCCCATTTTCTAAGGAGGACACAGGGATTCTCTCTTGTGTCATTATGTTTTTCTCCCATTTTCTTGGCAATGTTTCCTCATCTAGACATCAATACTAGTGGCTTTGTTGGCATTTCTTCACATTTTTCCTCTTAGCAATTCTTTCTGGCATATTTGTTGACAACTTCAAGAACTATTCTTCACAACACCTTCCTCCCCAGGCCATGGAGAAGTGTAAGGATGCAGGGTTGACAAAGTCCATTGGGGTGTCTAATTTTAACTGCCAGCATCTGGAGATGATCCTGAACAAACCAGGGCTCAAATACAAGCCTGTCTGCAACCAGGTGAGCACCCTCCAGCTTCTCTCCTTTTGTTCTTCCTGTGCTACTGACGGGCTTCCATTGGTCATCCTGTCCTGTGCGTGGTACCTTTGTGGACTAGAAGATTCTGCAGACAGAGCCTCTGTCTGTATGGGCTTACAGGATGCTCAGTTATGACTCTCCTTGACAATACCTTAGCGAAACACTGGGAACATCTTGGGAGAAGCTGTGTTTATGAAGTAAAGAGAGGTAAAGGTGAAGGGAGGTAGAAGTTATTTAGACTTGGAGTGGTGGGCTTAGCCTGAGCTATGAAGGATGACCAATGACAGTGTAGACAGAAGGCCTGTCGGGAGCACCATGTAGAGAAAGAAATGGCATGAAAACATGGAGTGGGGCAGTAACCAAGGACAACGGAAATAAACGCAGAGCAATGGAAAAGGTTTTTTCCTAGGGGGTTCAGATGTGCAATTTACACCATCTGGCTTAGAAGGAGCGGTTGTGGGGATACTATTAGTGGATGAAATCAACCCTGAGGGATTTTGAGCAGAACACAGACCTGACCCTGTGCCTGACCACATTTAGTTTCTCCTTCTTTCTTTCTGACATCAAATCAGCTATTTAAGCACATCTATTCTGTTCCTGGTCCTGTACTCTAAGTTATTGTTTTTAACAAATTCCAGTCATGGAGTATGGGTCTTTGATTGAAAAATATAGCTTAAAAAATTCATGAATTTGTTATATAATGATAGAACCTTGTGATCTCCAGATGTAAATGCTAAAAGCTAATGTGATTTTAATACTAACCTCACCCTTATTTTTTTTAACAATGCCCACTCTCAAGCCTTTAGAATGTTTGAAAGGATGACACAGAACGTCTGTGTCCAACTATATCCAAAATTGTTGATGTTTGCCACATTGTCATGTGTAGGTAGGTGATGAGGTTACAGCTGTACACATGCATGGAATATTTCGCTGAATGTCTTGATAATATGTCCTATGCACAAGTGTTCACTCCTACAGACCTCAGAAGACATCTGCTAGGAATAAAGATCCTCTCTGCCAGAGTCACCGTTGCATTATTAGATCTATGGAAGTTATCAATTATTCCCTGATACCATATAATATCTGGACCACCTTCACATTTCCCATGGCTTCCCCAAAATGTCTTGTATACTTTTTAAACCAGGATATCATTGTAGTTCACACATAATCCTTGTCAAGCTCTTTTCTTTTGTTCAAGCTCTTTTAACCTAGAATTACCACCAATTCTTTTTCCCCAGGATATCTGGACAGGATTTGACAAATATTTCAGATTTGTTAGATTATGTTCTTGTAATGATAGTTTGTTTCTCTATTTCAAGTTTTATAAATTAGAAATTAGGTCCAAATGCTTTATTATACTGGTGTTAACCATTTTCGGCAAAAAACGGAGTCACCATCATGTTCAGCCCAGGAGGAAGCACGTAATGACAGATCACCCCACTGTGGGTGATACTAATTGTGATTTCTTGGCTCAGCTAGTGGTAGCCAGATTTTCTTTTTGATAAATGTGTGTCCCCCGCCTTGAATTAGTAAAGACCTATTGAGTGAAAATTATCAACAGAGGAAATCGTGTTCCATGACAGGTATGACCCACTAGTTGAGTATCTATTGATCATTTTTGTCTAAATTCATTTGTTATATAGGGGTTTGTGAACAATTATTTTCATTTTTAACTCTTATTTGTGCCTGACACTTTCTTGTACAAAATTTCAACATATCAAATCAGGATAAACTGCAGGGCTGGGGTTGTGGCTCAGTGGTAGAGCACTCGCCTAGCATGTGTGAGGCACTGGGTTCGATTCTCAGCATCACATATAAATAAATGAATAAAGTAAGGGTTCATCAACATGTGAAAAAAATAAATAAATTAGGATTTTTAAAAAATGTTTTTTTTTAAAAGATAAACTGCAACTTTTTCCTTTAAAATAGTGGAATCCTTAATAGCTTGCCTTTATTTACATTGTGTAGAGTTACTGTAATAATAAGCATCAGTAGGGGCAAGTATTTTTGTTCTCTCTATTACTATGGGCATTAACACCTTTATTTACAATATGTGTTAGAAATGATCCTATTTTGTTCATTATTGCTTTGGAGCAGAAATCTATTCAGCTTTCACTAGAGAGATCCCTATCCATGGTACTTTGTCTTTCAGACTTGCCCTCATGAATCTTTGACCAAATTTTTGTTTTTGGCGTGATTTGGTGTTCAAGGTTGGAAGAATTCTTTCCTATTCCAGATCTGGAATTATGCATGTCTCCTTACAGTTGAAAAGGGTATTTAGCACCCAAGATCTGGTCCACAAAGTTGTTTCTTCTTAGAAATGCCTCAAAAAGAAAAAAAAATTTCAGGGTATAGTATAGAAGTACTGAATTAATATTTAAAAAGCGTATTGCTACTTGATGTTAATTTTTTCACCTCAAATTTTATATTATAGTTTTTTAAAAAAATCAGTTTCTGTTACTTTGACAATTTGTTTTCATATTAACATTAGCATTTAGTAGAATCTGATACCCTCTGTCTTGTCCACCACAGGTAGAATGTCATCCTTTTCTCAACCAGAGAAAACTGCTGGACTTCTGCAAGTCAAAAGACATTGTTTTGGTTGCTTATGGTGCTGTGGGAAGTACCCGAGACAGATGGTAATAAGGACAAGAAGCTCACCTAAAACATCATCAGTGACGAAATATTTCTATTATTATATTTCTATTATAATGTTTTCTTCCTTCTTTTCTCCTTTTCTTTCTACCCCTCTCCCTTTCTTTCTGTACTGAGGATTGAACTCAAGGACTCTCTACCTCTGAGCTACATCCCAAGCCCTTTTATAAAATTTTGTTGAGATGGGGTCTTGTTAAATTGCTGAGGCTGACCTTAAATCTTGCAGTGCTCCTGCCTCAGCCTTCCAGGTTGCTGGGATCACAGGTGCATGCCGCCATGTTCAGTTTGTTTTGTAGGGTTACCCATGGAAGGGCTCAAGGACCGGGGAGAACTTGCATTTGTGAGTGGATCCCCTATGACACTGATGCTGCCAGTCCAGGGACTACATTTGAGGATCCCTGGTCTAGAGTGGTCTAAACAGAGCTTGGTCTATTTTGGAGCCTCCTAACAAAGTAAATACTCAGTCTCAGGACTCCGGTATCTCTGCCTTTTCTTCCAGGACTGACCAGAACACCCCTATTCTTTTGGATGATCCAGTTCTTGGTTCCTTGGCAAAAAAGCACAAGCGAACTCCAGCCTTGATTGCCCTCCGCTATCAGCTGCAGCGTGGGGTTGTGGTCCTGGTCAAGAGTTTCAATGAGAAGAGGATCAAAGAGAACATGCAGGTGTTGAGGGGCTCTGGGTTTCAGGGTTCCTATGCAGTATCCTTTGCATGTGTGCTTTTTAAACTCTCAACATATTTATGATGAGCTAGCTTCTCTGTTTTTGTTGATGCATGTGTGATATATTTCTACCATTTTCTTCATCCTGCCAGGGCAATAGGAAGACAACATGACTGGAGATTGTTAGGATTGGACAGAAAACGGAGGCTCGGGTTTCAATATTAAGTCAGCAGTGTTTTGTGCAATCCTGTGCAAATCACATTTTTTTTTTTAAATGAAGATGCTGAATTAGGTGATTTTCAATCTAAGTATAGAATTATGTCATCAGCAAATAGTGATAATTTGAGTTATTCTTTTCCTATTCGTATCCCTTTAATTTCTTTCATCTCTGTAATTGCTCTGGCTAGAGTTTCAAGGATGTTGAATAGAATTGGTGAAAGAGAGCATCCCTGTTTTGTTCTAGTTTTTAGAGGGAATGCTTTCATTTTTTTCTCCGTTTAGAATGATGTTGGCCTTGGGCTTAGCATAGATAGCTTTTACAATATTGACCTATGTTCCTATTATCTCTACTTTTTCTAGTATTTTGAACATGAAGGTGTGCTGTATTTTTAAATTTTTAAAAAAATTTTAATTTTTTATATATGACAATAGAATGCATTACAATTCATATTACACTTATAGAGCACATTTTTTTTATCTCTGGTTGTACACATCTTTTATGTCTTCACACATGTACTTAGGGTAATGATGACCATCACATTCCCACCACCTTTCCTACCCCTATGCCCCCTCTCTTCCCCTCCTCTTCTTTTCCCCTTTGCCCTGTCTAGAGTTCATTCAATCCTTCCACTCTACCCCCTGCAGAATATTATGAATCGGCATCCTTAAATCAGAGAAATCATTTGGCATTTGGTTTTTGGGATTGGCTAATTTCACTTAGCATTATATTCTCCATCTCTATCCATTTACCTGAAAATGCCATGATTTTATTCTGTTTTAATGCTGAATAATATTCCATTGTGTATATATCCCACATTTTCTTTATCTATTCATCTACTGAAGGGCATCTAGGTTGGTTTCATAGTTTAGCTATTGTGAATTGAGCTGCTATGAACATTGATGTAGCTGTGTCACTATAGTATGCTGATTTTTAAGTCTTTTGGTTCTATTCCCAGGAGTGGTATAGCTGGGTCAAATGGTGGTTCCATTCCCAGTTTTCCAAGGATTCTCCATATTTTGCATAGTGGTTGCACCAATTTGCAGTCCCACCAACAATTTATGAGTGTGCCCTTTCCCCCACATCCTCGCCAACACTTTTTGTTGTTTGTATTATTTTTTTATTTTTATTTATTTGTTTATTTTTAATTTTTTATTGTGGGTTGTTCAAAACATTACAAATTTCTTGACATATCATATTCCACACTTTGATTCAAGTGGGTTATGAACTCCCACCTTCACCCCATACACAGATTGCAGAATCACATCAGTTACACATCCATTGATTTACAAATTGCCATACTAGTGTCTGTTGTGCTACGCTGCCTTTCCCATCCTCCACCCTCCCCCCTCCCCACCTCTCCCCTCCCCTCCCCTCCTCTCTCTCTACCCCCTCCACTGTATAACCCTGAGGGTCTCCTTCCATAACCATGCAATTTCCCTTCTCTCTCCCTTTCCCTCCCACCTCTCATCCCTGTTTAATGTTAATCTTCTTCTCCTGCTCTTCGACCCTACTCTGTTCTTAGTTACTCTCCTTATATCAAAGAAGACATTTGGCATTTGTTTTTTAGGGATTGGCTAGCTTCACTTAGCATAATCTGCTCTAATGCCATCCATTTCCCTGTAAATTCTATGATTTTGTCATTTTTTAATGCAGAGTAATACTCCATTGTGTATAAATGCCACATTTTTTTTATCCATTCATCTATTGAAGGGCATCTAGGTTGGTTCCACAGTCTTGCTATTGTGAACTGTGCTGCTATGAACATCGATGTAGCAGTGTCCCTGTAGCATGCTCTTTTTAGGTCTTTAGGGAATAGACCGAGAAGGGGAATAGCTGGGTCAAATGGTGGCTCCATTCCCAGCTTTCCAAGAAATCTCCATACTGCTTTCCAAATTGGCTGCACCAATCTGCAGTCCCACCAGCAATGTACAAGTGTACCCTTTTCCCCACATCCTCGCCAGCACTTGTTGTTGTTTGACTTCCTAATGGCTGCCAATCTTACTGGAGTGAGATGGTATCTTAGGGTGGTTTTGATTTGCATTTCTCTGACAGCTAGAGATGTTGAGCATTTTTTCATGTACTTGTTGATTGACTGTATGTCCTCCTCTGAGAAGTGTCTGTTCAGGTCCTTGGCCCATTTGTTGATTGGGTTGTTTGTTCTCTTATTGTCTAATTTTTTGAGTTCTTTGTATACTCTGGATATTAGGGCTCTATCTGAAGTGTGAGGAGTAAAGATTTGTTCCCAGGGTGTAGGCTCCCTATTTACCTCTCTTATTGTTTCTTTTGCTGAGAAAAAACTTTTCAGTTTGCGTAAGTCCCATTTGTTGATTCTAGTTATTAACTTTTGTGCTATGGGTGTCCTATTGAGGAATTTGGAGCCCGACCCCACCGACTGTAGATCGTAGCCAACTTTTTCTTCTATCAGACGGCGTGTCACTGATTTGATATCAAGCTCCTTGATCCATTTTGAATTCACTTTTGTGCATGGCGAGAGAAAGGGATTCAGTTTCATTTTGTTGCATATGGATTTCCAGTTTTCCCAGCACCATTTGTTGAAGATGCTATCCTTCCTCCATTGCATGCTTTTAGCCCCTTTATCAAATATAAGATAGTTGTAGTTTTGTGGATTGGTTTCTGTGTCCTCTATTCTGTACCATTGGTCCACCCGCCTGTTTTGGTACCAGTACCATGCTGTTTTTGTTACTATTGCTCTGTAGTATAGTTTGAAGTCTGGTATCGCTATACCGCCTGATTCACACTTCTTGCTTAGCATTGTTTTTGCTATTCTGGGTCTTTTATTTTTCCATATGAATTTCATGATTGCTTTCTCTATTTCTACAAGAAATGCCGTTGGGATTTTGATTGGCATTGCATTAAACCTATAGAGAACTTTTGGTAATATCGCCATTTTGATGATGTTAGTTCTGCCTATCCATGAACAGGGTATATTTTTCCATCTTCTAAGATCTTCTTCTATTTCTCTCTTTAGGGTTCTGTAGTTTTCATTGTATAAGTCTTTCACCTCTTTTGTTAGGTTGATTCCCAAGTATTTTATTTTTTTTGAAGATATTGTGAATGGAGTGGTTGTCCTCATTTCCATTTCAGAGGATTTGTCGCTGATATACAGGAATGCCTTTGATTTATGCGTGTTGATTTTATATCCTGCCACTTTGCTGAATTCATTTATTAGCTCTAATAGTTTCTTTGTAGAGCCTTTTGGGTCTGCTAGGTATAGAATCATATCATCTGCAAATAGTGATAATTTAAGTTCTTCTTTTCCTATTTTTATGCCTTTAATTTCTTTCGTCTGTCTAATTGCTCTGGCCAGTGTTTCGAGAACTATGTTGAACAGAAGTGGTGAGAGAGGGCATCCCTGTCTTGTTCCAGATTTTAGAGGGAATGCCTTCAGTTTTTCTCCATTCAGAATGATGCTAGCCTGAGGCTTAGCATAGATTGCTTTTACAATATTGAGGTATGTTCCTGTTATCCCTAGTTTTTCTAGAGTTTTGAACATAAAGGGATGCTGTACTTTGTCGAATGCTTTTTCCGCATCTATCGAGATGATCATATGGTTCTTATTTTTAAGTCTATTGATGTGGTGAATAACATTTATTGATTTCCGTATATTGAACCAGCCTTGCATCCCAGGGATGAATCCTACTTGATCATGGTGTACAATTTTTTTGATATGTTTTTGTATCCGATTCGCCAGAATTTTATTGAGGATTTTTGCATCTAGGTTCATTAGAGATATTGGTCTGTAGTTTTCTTTCTTTGAAGTGTCTTTGTCTGGTTTCGGGATCAGGGTGATGTTGGCCTCATAGAATGAATTTGGAAGTTCTCCCTCCTTTTCTATTTCCTGAAGTAGCTTGAAAAGTATTGGTATTAGTTCTTCTTTAAAGGTTTTGTAAAATTCTGCTGTATACCCATCCGGACCTGGGCTTTTCTTAGTTGGTAGTCTTTTTATGGTTTCTTCTATCTCCTCAATTGATATTGGTCTGTTTACGTTTTCTATATCCTCCTGACTCAATCTGGGCAGATCATATGACTTAAGAAATTTATCTATGCCTTCACTATCTTCTAATTTATTGGAGTATAAGGATTCAAAATAGTTTTTGATTATCTTCTGTATTTCTGAAGTGTCTGTTGTGATATTGCCTTTTTCATCCCGTATGCTAGTAATTTGAGTTCTCTCTCTTCTTCTCTTCGCTAGCATGGCTAAGGGTCTGTCGATTTTGTTTATTTTTTCAAAGAACCAACTTTTAGTTTTGTCAATTTTTTCAATTGTTTCGATTTCATTAATTTCAGCTCTGATTTTCATTATTTCTTGCCTTCTACTTCTTTTGCTGTTGTTTTGCTCTTCTTTTTCTAGGATTTTGAGATGAAGTATGAGATCATTTATTTGTTGGTTTTTTCTTTTTTTAAGGAATGAACTCCAAGCAATGAATTTTCCTCTTAGAACTGCTTTCAATGTGTCCCATAGATTCCGATATGTTGTGTCTGTGTTTTCATTTATCTCTAAGAATTTTTTAATTTCCTTCTTGATGTCTTCTATAACCCATTGATCATTCAGTAACCTATTGTTCATTCTCCAATTGATGTATGCTTTTTCCTTCCTTCTTTTATCGTTGATTTTCAGTTTCATTCCATTATGATCAGATAAGATGCATGGTATTATCTCTACTCCTTTATATTGTCTAAGAGTTGCCCTGTGACATAATATATGATCTATTTTTGAGAAGGATCCATGTGCTGCTGAGAAAAAAGTGTAACTGCTTGATGT